AGCATTAGGTGAACTTCCTGTTGGTAAGAGGTATTCTACAATGCAACATGCTGCCTGTGTAGTGGGATCTCCTTCTTTGAGGGTTTGTAAACAGAGGCTGGACAGCCATCTGTCAGGAGTGCTTTGATTGTCTATTCCTGCATGGCAGGTGGTTGGGATGGGTAGCCCTTGTGGTCTTTTCCAGCTCTGTGCTTCTAACTCTTCTATGAACTTTTAAAGAAAATTCAAACCAGCAGTCAAAGTTCAAGACATTCTTGAAGCATAAAATTCTTAGGGATTGTTTGCCAGAACAATATGGTTTGGCATGGTGAATCCACACTCGCCATCTGTTGCTCCTTTCATCTTGGTAGAAGATAGGGAAGTAATCACAAATTTACGTGATAGCTAAAGTCTCATCTGGTCTTTTTAAACATGTCATAAATATGTTTGTATATTTCTATTTTTTTCTTATTTTTTTCTTAATACACTTTGCTGCCTTGTCTTAGGTATTCCATCTATCCCATAGTTTCACAACTCAGCTAAAAGTATTTTGCAGTCACTAACTGTATTGTAACCTGCTGGTAACCACTCACCTCACAAGGGAAACAACCCAAGGTTAACTGCAGTGTGCAGTGCCTGTACTGTTTCCTTTTGTTGCTGGCCTCTCCTTTTCCTTTGCCTTAGGATACCAAGTGTATGAACACCCTGTACAGTTTGTATATTCTCTGATCCAGCAGTAGCTAGATGTTCAGGAAGGACAGCTGTTTCACTCTCTCTTTTCAACCTACCCACTTGTTCCTCCTTCCCAACTGGACAGCTAACGGGTGTCTTTTAGCTTTTAATGAAAGTGTTTCCTGCATGCCATCATCTCCTCTTCATTTGAACTAACTCTAGCTGTGAATGATACTATAGAGAACTGATTGTTTCTCCCCCTCTATGACCCTCATCTCCTTGTCTACAAACCACCCTGCAGTTGTATTATTGCTTACTCCAGGCCCATGGAAAAGGCTTGGGAAATGTTACAAAATTGCTTAAATATTTATGTCTGGATAACCACAAAAGTGTGGTGTTGACCACAAGGGCAAGCTGTCCAGAACTTGCTTTCTATGTCCATGTCTCCAGGCCAAGTTCACCAAGATTTTTTTTCGTAGACGCCAAAAACTATAGGGAAACTAAAACCTAGTCAGTTCTGAATAAAGTGATTGGCTGCATCTGCATTACTGAAATAATGCAGTTTGACACCTAATTAACTGCCATGGTCAGTGCTATGGAATTCTGGGATTTGTATTCTGGGTTGGCTGTTTACCAAAATAAGAAAGAGAATATCTTCAGACAATGTGCTAGTGGAGCTGGCAAAAGCAGACAGTTGTAGGATTGAAGCAAAGATAAGCTGCATCATCGCCACCATGGAGGAAGATGAGAGTCCCTGGCTATATGATATGGCAGGTGGAACAGTAAAGAGAAGCTATGGGCCTCTAAAGACTGGTGATGATGGGCCAAAACTCCTCTATCTGTTATCTATTACTAGAGGAAAACAAAAGAGGTAATTTAGTTTCTAGCAAGCATGCTAGTACTTTCAGTAGTCTCTTGCAACAGCTGAATCCATTCATGCAAATACTGATACAGTATGTGGAATGAAGTCCTATTGTTGCAGGTCTCAGACACAAGAGCAGGAAGGGGCAGCAGTATTTGACTATTTTTTTAAAAAAAATCCAGCAACAATGGGTAAAACCCAGTTTTAAATAAATACCTGTTACTCTGGCCCACAAAGGTCACTTCTGTCTTGTGAAAAGGCCAGAAAAATGCAGCTCTTAAAGGACCCATATGACTCTGCATTACTTTGTATGGACAAAGACAGCAACAGCAGGATTATCTAGTGGCAGGCAAGAATTAATGGTTGGGTTTTATATATGTTTTCTTCTCTTTTTGTTAGCGTTTATTTGTTTTTATATTCATAATAAGGTTTGGTGAGCAATGCTGTGCAATCATGTTTTTCACAAATCTTAATAAGGATGCTTTAAGAAAAAACAGGCGTAATAAGAAAAAAATACAAAATGATATATCATAGCAATATTTTCTTTTTGAATGAACTAGTGATTTTCTGTATGAATCCATTTCAGTATATTGTGCATTTTGGTTGGCCAGTAAAGGTATCACTGATGGGTTTATGTTCAAATTTGCTAAATGGCCAACACAGCTCCCACTGAATGTTTTCTGGTGTTTTTTTTGGGGGGGGGTGGGTTGTTCTCTTTTTGGAATAAATGGTTCATGCAAAATAAAAGTCTAATTAGGACCCAGCAATAAACAGTGTATAAACACGTGGTGTAGTGGTTTGAGCATTGGACTAGGACACTGGGAGACCAGAGCTGAAATTTTGGCTTGGCCATGAAAACCCACTGGTTGACCTTGGGCAAGTCACACTCTCTCA